TAGTGATTTCCTGGGCCTCGCTTACTAAGGAGCAGTATGGCAGAAGCACTGGATTCCAAGCCTTGAGATTTGTACATACTTTCTTCTGCTATTTATTTCTTATCTCAGGATTGATGTATCACCAAAAATGGCAGGTGAGTTCTCCCTTCCAACCACGAAAAAATAAACGAAAGAACTTCTGTAAGGGTTGCATAGTATAGGCTATTTCTGTGTGTTATTGGTGATACAGTGCTGCAGTTAAAGGTAGGAACCTTCAGTAAAAGATCAGGTTAGTATATTCAGTCAACTCCTCAGAAATAGACACTGATGTTATGCACTGAAAAAATATCTACTCAGGAAAATGAATTCACTGTAAATTCTGTGTTTACTATATGAAACTATCCTGTATTAATGCACCATGTTATCAGTCTTAATATACATCAAACATAAGATAGTTTATTCAGTTTTAAACTGGAGCAAACTTTACTATGCACTGTTCAGTCAAAGTTTATAGAGAGTAATTTATTTTCCTTGCCTAGGGTGACCTCATGCTTACAAAGGCTAGCAGGAATTCTGGCAGATAATAGTTTTGCAGTTTCAGACATTGTGCCTAGTGCAGACCCTCTTTCTATAGCGAAGTCCTTAGGTAGTTTTAGGAGAGGTTTCCCTTTTTTGTTGTTTTATTTTTTCCTATAGAATTTTACTTGAAATCCAAAATACAAGGAAATCAAAATGACCATTTAGGGTATGTAATTTCGGTAGCCATGTCTTATATTTGATGTCATTTGTGGAAGAAGCTTCATAAGTGGCTTGTAAAGTTCATGAAGTCCCTTTAATCATAATAAGCACGTGATTTTGGAATGTTATGGTTCGTAACTGCTGTTTGCATACTTACTATGCTTGTAACTGTAACTGCTAACTGCTGCTTGCCATACTTACTATGCTTACAGTTCTTTTAGTTGTGTTATTTATATTTTTGTGGTGTAAGAATTGTTGTTGGAATTTTTAATATCTCAGTATTTTTTACTGAGAAATACTCGTTTGGAATTGTGTAGCTACAATTGTGATGCTTTTGAGCATTACCCTTTTGGTTATTGAAGAAGTGATAAAAGTATATTTACTACTTTTTTTTTACTGCACCCCAGCAATCATTTAAATGCAAAAAACTGCATCTGGGACCATGATTATGAAAATTACTGGTTTCTAATATACTGGGATTTAATGAATACTGATCATAGTATAGCAGTCCATAGGCATCTGATACAAAAGCAAACTGCTTATAATGTTAAGAGATTGGATTAGTTGAACAACTTTAAAGTCTAAGGCGTTTTAAATATTTGCTGTTAGTTGAAGTCAAGAGTGTTACAACTTTACATCTCCTAGAAAAGAAGGAATAAAAGTCTATAGGGAACATTTTTTTCATGTTATATATGGTGAGTTTTATATTGTAATGATCATTCTCAAGTGAAGCTTCTACTTCTGTTACATTCATAAAAAATCTTTTCAACTCTTCATTTTTAAATTGGGACCATGTATATGTTCTTGCTAGTAGATGTCTAAAAATACCTTCAGTGTCTGGTGTTGGGATAAGTGTAATGCAAATACACATAAAAGAAATTGTAAGACACATAGAGTTCTTCCTTGAAGTTTAGCTGGTTTCTGTCTTCAAAATGTGTTTAGCAGAAGTTTGCATTCAGCCTTCTTGGAAAGAGTAAGGAGAAGTGCATTTCTGCTGTTTAGTCCATATTCTGATTTAGTACACTGCTTACAGAATGATTCCTAGGTGAATTCTGTGGCTTTTGTTCACTGGCAAAAAGTTGGATATTTTTACTATAGAAATCCTAAAGCAGCTTTTAATGCATGTCCTTTTTTGTGTGCTCATTGATAGAAGTAGTATTCCGAGTGATGCTGAATTACTAAAGGCTTCATTATTAACAAAAGAGGTGTTAAAACCTCTGGTGTATCATTTTCAGCAGTATTTCGCTGGGTTTCATATAATCTGCATTGTTTCTAAGGCTTGTGTAATTATAATTTATCAAGAGACGGTAAGTTAGTGCCTGACCCCCTGTAGTTTGCAGGCACGTCAGATGTGCCTTTTGCTGTTGTCACTGTACTTAGCGAGCAGAGATTCAGAGCTCCCTCTTCAGCCTGTCTGCATCTTCCTTCAAGAAAGGCAGATTTAATGCACAGCTGAAAATGCTAAGAAAGATGAGCAATGTCAGAACTCGAGGACAGACTTCTTTTACTAACTGAGAGGTCAATAAATGCTTCAGTATGGGCTCAGACTACTGAATTTACTGAGTTTAACAGGATCTGTCCTAGACGAACTGTCACTGCTGGAAAGTATCTGCATATCTTATTATATTAATAGAAGAATTTGTGGGACTGTCAGCACAGTAACAATTGCAACATTTTTAGGCTGAACCTAAAGTGTAAAATGAAGTCAGGCAGACATTTTTCCTGAAAATTGTTTGGTGCTCATTAGTGCTGTTCCTGATCTGGGCTAGTGCTGGTTGCCTGCTAGAGAAAGGGCCCTGCCCGCATGTTTTTTTCATACTAAAGGAAGTGATAACTCTTTAAAACATAAGTACTATATGTTATATAATAATAGTTTTGTTTTCCTGCCACCATTATCTACTTATTTTACAGTTTGCAAACGTAAATTGAGGGTGAGGCTGTCC